ACTACTGCTACCGCTACTACTACTACTTTTACTACTAGTACTACTACTACTACTACTACTACTACTACTACTACTACTACTACTACTACTACTACTACTACTACTACTACTACTACTACTACTACTAACTACTACTACTACTACTAACTACTACTACTACTACTACTACTAACTACTACTACTACTAACTACTACTACTACTACTACTACTAATACTACTACTACTAACTACTACTACTACTACTGCTAACTACTACTACTACTACTACAACTACTACTACTACTACTACTACTACTACTACTACTACTACTAACAACACAACAATAGCAAAAACAATAATAATAATAATAATGATAATTTCATTAGTCTAATGGAAAGTGTTCCTGTGGTAAGGGTGCTAGAAACCATGAAGCTACTTACGTTCTTGCAACTAAAAGTTATCTAAGTTAGTCATCCTAATCATCACCACCACCATCATCATCATCATTGTCACCACCACCATCATCATCATCTTTATCATTGTCATCATCATCGTCATCATCGTTATCATCCTCACCATCATCATCACCATCGTTACCGTCGTTTTGATCATCATTATATTTTCAAAATGAACTTCGAACTTTGAACTTAACGAACCCACTGAAGCCTGCCCACCCGGTACATTCGGGTACATGTGCACTCTCAAGTGCAGCTGTGCTAAGGGCGTTTGGTGCGAGTTCGCCACTGGCCAATGCTTCAACAACGGCAACATCAGAAAAAAATGCATGGATGGATGGAGCGGCAAAACTTGCAGTAAAAGAGGTAAGAAAAATGAATAAAATAAGAAAGAAAGAAATAGAGAGAGAGAGAGAGAGAGAGAGAAAAAGAGAGAGAGTGAGTGAAAATTTGTATGTAATTTAATACGTTCCTAAATGTGCGTATCCTATCTCCAAAACAAAATCAATTAATTATTCACTTTCTTCATACAGTAATCATAATCGGACAATCACCCATTCATTCATTCACTCATTCACTCACTCACTCACTCATTCACTTACTCATTCACTCATTCATTCACTTTCTCATTCACTCATTCATTCACTCACTCATTCACTCACTCACTCATTCACTTACTCATTCATTCACTCATTCACTCACTCATCCATGCATGCATTCATTCAATCGCTCCGTCCTCTTCAGATTGTTCTACTATGAACTGCTCCAGTGTCGAGTATTGCTACGGTGACGCCAAGAACCAACTTGTTCAGTGCTTGTGCAAAGATGGATTCGACAAGGAACACCTCTGGGATGCATGCAAAAGTTTTTTGATGACGACGACAATGATGATGATGATGCTGATGACGATGACGTGATGACGATTATAATGTGAGAATGATGACGACGACGACGATGATGGTGATAATAATAATAATAATAAGAAAAAGAATAATTAAAATAATAATAATAAGGTACTCAAAGGCAATCTTCACTCATCATCATCATCATCATCGTCTTCGTCCTCATCGTCGTCTTCATCATCATCGGCGTCTTTGTATGTAGAAGGTTAATAAGTTTATATATTTTTTAATTGATTTTTTTTTAAATAATTTCCATCAGTCTATCCGTTTAGTCATTCGTTTTTTGTTTGTTCGTTCATTCATTCATTTATTCATTTGTTCATTCTTTCATTCACTCATTTATTTGTTAATTCATTCGTTCATTCATCATTCTATTTTTCTGTACGTAAAATTTTATCACATCCATTCATCCGCGCGGCAGAAATCATTAATCTATTCCTCCGTTCAATCAATCATTCTGTCATCCATTTAATCAAAACAGGAAGATGAAGAGGAACGAAAAGTCAACGTCACCATCAAAAAAGATTAAAAATAGTAAAAATCATAAGAATAATAATAAGAATGATAAAAAAATGATGCTAAAAGATGGAGCCTACTCACCAAGCGTACGATATTCGAGGCAGCAATCAAAAGATAAAAGTTTGAGTTTAGTTCTTCATCATCATCATTATTTCAGAATCCTCATCTTCATCGTCACCATCAGTAGATCATCATCATCATCAGTAGATCATCGTCATCATCAATAGATCATCGTCATCATCAATAGATCATCATCATCAGTAGATCATCATCATCATCAGTAGATCATCATCATCATCAATAGATCATCATCATCATCAATAGATCATCATCATCAGTAGATCATCATCATCATCAATAGATCATCATCATCATCAGTAGATCATCATCATCATCAATAGATCATCATCATCATCAATAGATCATCATCATCATCAGTAGATCATCATCATCATCAGTAGATCATCATCATCATCAATAGATCATCATCATCATCAATAGATCATCATCATCATCAGTAGATCATCATCATCATCAGTAGATCATCATCATCATCAATAGATCATCATCATCATCATCGCCAGTTCTTCATAACGATAGCAAATCAGTAGCTGGAGTGCACGCTGCGATGATATCCGAAGAACAAGTGAAACTGAAAATCGAGGAATTCCCCGCCTACGTAGCCGGGAATTCCCAAAAATTTGTATCTGAATTTAAGGTAGACAATCATAATCATGACTTCAACAATCCTTATCATCATTATCATCATCATCATTAAAGCTATCACTATCATCATCGCGTCACAATCATCATTGTCACCAGGCCCTCCACACGGAGAGTAACATATCGTGTGCCTATGCCATGCAGAAACAGCTGAAGAATAAAAACAGATTTCAAAATATCCTACCATGTTAGTTCGTTTTTATTACTATTATTATTATTATTACTATTACTATGACGTCACCAGATGATAACAATCGCGTCATTCTGAGACAACTGCCTGGAAGTGAATTCTCCGATTACATTAACGCCAGCTATATCACGGTTGATTTTATTCATTCGTCTATTCATTCGTTCGTTCATTCTTTCATTCATTTATTCATCCATTCATCCATTTAGTTTGCATACTAATTAGTCTTTATTTACCTCATTATGTTAATTTCAGGGCTGTCGTTGTCCAATTATAATCGCAGCCCAAGGTCAGTCGCATGATTAATTAAATTGCTAATTACTAGTTTAATAGCCTTGCTAGAGTACAAGGACAAACACACATACACACACACAAAACACATACACACACACACACACACACACACACACACACACACACACACACATATATATATATATATATATATATATATATATATATATATATACAAACACACACAAACACACAAACACACATAACAACATACATACACACATGAACACACAAACACACACACATATATTTACAAATACAAACACATATACACACACAGCGCCAACAAACAACACGGTCCATGATTTCTGGCGGATGATTGGCGAGCAAGGCGTTGGTCTGATTGTGATGCTATGTGACATCGTTGAGAACAGCAAAGTTAGACCAGTTACTAAGTTACTCCAATAATTTATGACTTTAATACTGGGTTAACTACTTGATAACTGATTACTAGATTGCATATTTTATCACCTAACTACAAACTTAATTTCTTGATCATCTCTGAATAGCACACTCGATCAGAAGATTACTTAAACGAATTTATTTAAATTCAAATATTTAAATATTCAATTTGTACCATCTAAATTACACAATCCTTCTATACAAGTATAAAAATACTAAACAATTACAAAAAACAGCTTAATTACCAACAAAATTTCAAACTACCCAGTCCAAATGCCACAAATACTGGCCAGAAGAGGGCTGTGACGTAAGCTACGGGGGCTATAAGGTCATAGGTCAGTCGGTCACCAACTGGTCACATTATGTTCAGAGAGAATTTGTCGTTGAGACTGTAAGTGTTGTTGTTGTTGTTGGCGAATTCGTTTCTATGTTGTAATTTATTCTGTAAGGATTGTCATTAATAATTCTGTCTTTATTAGGCAGCTACGTAGAGTGCCACAAATTGTTTTAAAATGGTTTTTTAATAATTTATATAGAGATTTATTTTTACTAACAACACTCGCACTGCACAAAGTACACACATGTTCCTTCATACATAGCATGCAGACCACACTTCACGACACATTCAAAACGTTGTTGCACCTACCCAGACATGCAACGTTTTCAGCGCACGTCACATAGTGATTAATTAACTCTATCTAACACAACATTCGAATCAAGATGGATACATCATTATTTTTTCCTGAGGAATGGCCGTTTCTATATTTTTCAATTTTATTTCGTATTTTTCAGATTCAGCAGTTTGTTTGATTGAATGAATGAATGAATGAATGAAGGAATGAATGAATGTATGAAGAAATGAATGAATGAAAAGATGAACAGCTGGGCCGGATGATATAAAAGAGGATACAGATACGCTGGGATTGCTAATCCTTCCATATTTTTTTCATAGCCCAAAAGTACAAAGCTCCAACTGACGCAACTTCATTTCTCGCCATGGCCTGACAACGGGGTTCCAGATGATTTGCTCTTCTTCCTGGCTTTTAGGAAGAAATATCGAAGTATTGTTAACGAGAGGCAGTGTGTTTCACTGGTCCATTGCAGGTTAGCAGGGCTGTTTGGCTGGTTGGTTGGTTGATTGGTTGATATTCCTATTGATTGGTTTGCAGGTTGGATGGTTGGTTGATTGATTGATTGATAAGCTATTAATTAGTTGATTGATTGACTGGTAGATGTATAACTAACTATTATAGGTAGAAAATATCAACTCAATTTGATAACTTTTCAAATTTATCTTCAAACATTATTCCATTGTAGTTTTTTTTTTAATAAATTTTCTAATCGATTTTTCTTCAAAATTTTATATCAGTACACTTGATTTTTAACCCATCCATCTTCTCACCAATCTTCTTCTTCTTCTTCTCCATCACCTTCATCTTCATCATCATCCTCATCATCTTCATCAGCGCTGGCATAGGTAGAACGGGATGTTTCTTATCAGTTGATAACCTACTGGAAAGAGCGTCAATGAATGAACAACTGAACGTGCAGGAGTGCATCATGAAGATGAGAGAGGAAAGAGCGAACATGGTGCAAACTAAGGTTTGTGCTGCTGCTGCTGCTAATGGTGGTAGTGGTGGGGCTGCTGGTAGAGTAGTTTGTTAGTTTGTGGTGGTGATAGTCTGATTGGTTTTGGTGTAGTGACCCAAGCCAACTAAATAACCAATCGCACAGATTCAATACGAATTCATATACAACTGCTTGGTTGGTTACTATATAATGGGCGATACGACCTTCAGCCCGGATGAATTCATTAACGTATTCAACTGTGACCTCGTGACTCTTAATGCTGTCGTCATCAATAGTAAACTGACCAATCAATTTGAAGTGAGTTTGCTTGCTAAATAAAATGTTATAGATTTCGGGGATCTTCTTGCATTCAAACTTAGTAACTGTGACGCCAAAAGCAAGCGTCTTAACCATTACACTATTTTGCCAGCTGATATATGAACAATTTTTTTTTTTAATTTTTTAGTTTTTCCATGATAAAGAGTTGATCAACAAATATAAAAGTTAGCTGATGAATAAGTATTTTGTTTATTCATTCATTCATTCATTCATTCCTTTATTCATTCATTCATTCATTCATTCCTTTATTCATTCATTCATTTATTCATTCCTTTATTCATTCATTCATTCATTCATTCATTCATTCATTTATTCATTCATTTCTTTTACCTTCCGTCTCTCAATCAATCATTATTTATTCAAAATGGCAGTTAACAAGAAGTGCAAAAAACAGAAAGATCATTCGCCTAATCAGAAGACTATTACGGTTATAATAATAACAACAACAACAATAATAATAATAATAATAATAACTTTTTATCACCATCAGAACCATTTCGGCAAACAGACATTCATATTGCTGGAAACAAATAAGAATAATAATAAAAACAATAATAATGAAGATGATGATGAAGATGATGATGATGGTGATGACGACAATTTCCTCGATGGCCTACCAGAGTCATGTAACTTTCTAGTCCTGTTTGATCGACCGGATGTAAGTTATGATGATGATTGAGATGATGATGATGATGATGATAATGATAATGATGATGTTTGAGATGAGGATAGCGATTGCAATCGTTAGAAAAATATTTTATCCCAAAATTAATTATCGTAAATTATTATTATCCCAAAATTATTTATTTTAAATTATGATTATCCCAAAATTATTTATCTTAAATTATGATTATCACAAAATTATTTATCCTAATTTATAATTATCCCTATCCGGACAGCACAAATTGTCCTTCTTGCCAACTTACAGCCACAACACCAGTACAAAAACATCAACGTACGCATTAAATAACTCAAAAAACACGGATTTCGGCTCCCATTACGAACTAAGAAAATACAAAAATACAAAACCGCTATCCGTGTCGGTACCGGTATCGAATACAAATGTCGGTATTGACGGTGCTGCTGGCGCTATCTATGAAAATGTTGGCGACAAAAGTGTAGCTATTAGTAGTAGTAGTAGTAGTGGTAGTGGTGGTAGTTGTAGTGGTGGTGTTAATGTTAATGGTGCTGGTAAAGGTAACGAGAAAGAAGAAACGTTATACGTTAGTAGTAGTTGTTTGTTGTTTGGTTTGTTGTCCGTGTTACGCTCCTGTTCTGAAACTTTCTATGTTTTTGTTGTTGTTGTTACCATCATCATCATCGTTTTCGTCCTTTTCATTAATTTCGACCTCGTCATTGTCGTCATCGCCGATATAATATTTTTTTTAATTTTACCATTTCCGGTTTCATCTGACGTCATCGTGCCCTTCGTCATCATCACATTTTGATCTTTTAGGAAAACTTCAACAACAACAACAACAACAACAACAACAATAATAATATTAACAATAATAAAAGCAGCAGTAATAAAAATAATGCAATTAACGACAATGACGACGTCAGTAACCCGTTCCAAATAATCACCATTCTCCACGTCACGAAAGCCTCAAACGACCTTGACCCATTTCTAGAATTTTGCAAGGTCATCGACCGGAAAAACGTCATCAACAATAACAGCAACAACGATAACAACAACAACAATAACAACAACAATAATAATAATAACAACAAAATCAACAGATACGAAGATTGCTTATACAGTGTGCCGGTCAAAAATAAAAGCAAGACAGGCGACCCTAATGCTTGCAAAAGCGTATACATTTACAACAGGTGAAAATATTATTTGTAACTCATCTCATCATCATCAACATCATCAACATCATCATCATCAACATCTCCATCAACATCATCGTTATACTCATTGACAACATCGTCATCGTCATCATCTCCATCATCATCATCATCATCGGCAGGTCACCTGGTGACATAATGGGTCGTTATTTGACCTTTGCAAACGTCCTTGAAACAGTAAGGTCAAGGAACTGTGTCATGTTGTATGACCTCATCATTGACGTCAACGAGCAAGCGGGAAAATCCCTCGTCAAAACTTTCGTAAGTGATAATGAGGATAAAGATGAGAATGCTGATGATGCAGATGACGGAAGTTAAGACGTCCATGATGATGGAGACATAATGATGACGATGGCGAATTATTAATAAATATGTATTAGACATAATGATTTATTTTTTAAACTTTGTTTGAAATGAAAATGGTGATAACGAAGATGATGTAGTCACGATTGAATTGCGGGTGTAATGGTGATGATGAAAGTTATAGACGATTATGATGATAAGAACATAGAGAGATGACGATAATAATGATGATGAAAGACCCGAATTAGAACGCAGTAGGGGGTGGCTAAGCCCTTTCAACCCCCTCCCTCTTAACAAAATTGACAGTGGCGTGCAACAAATTTTCATGTTGAAATAAAAACACGTCTCTTTCTGAAACAATTTGAAAGCCTTTGCTTATTCCGTAAAAGTTCATTTTTCTAGAATTGTATAAACAATAATACTACTACTAATAATAATAATAATTGTTATTATTATTATTATTATTGTTATAAAAACACGCAGTTGACATACAAAGACTTGCATGATTTGACACTGAAGTACTTAACAAAAGCAAACAACAGCAGCAACAACAACAACAGCAACAGCAGCAACGATAACAACAACAGCAACAACAACAGATCCTCCTCATACAACAACAGATCGTCCTCATACAACAACAGATCGTCCTCATACAACAACAGATCCACCTCATACAACAATCGAATAAGCAAAATGCGCTAATTAATATTATTATTATTATTATTGCTATTATTATTATTTGTCATTTTTATTATTATTATCGTTGTTATTCCTTTATGTTCTTACTCAAACGATGAATTTTCAAACAGTAATAAATTAAAATCTAAAAGTATGAACATTTACTTTTTCGTCTGTGTCGACGGATTGAACTAAAACCGAAACGGAATCAAACGAGACGAAACACATTGTAACAAAACGAAACGAGACAAAACGAAATGGCGCTTTATAAACTAATTGATTGATTGATTGATTGATTGTTTGTTTGTTTGATCGATTGATTGATTAATTGATTGATTAATTGATTGATTGATTAACTGATTGATTAATTGATTGATTCATTGATTGATTCATTGATTGATTCATTGATTGATTCATTGATTGAAATGAGACAACCAAAAGTTTAAAAAAAGGCAAAACCCTCACATCAATTGGACAAAAAATTCTACAAACTATTTCTTGACAATAATATTAATACTACTATTATAACAATTATGAACGTTAATAATAATAACAATATTATTATTATTACTTTTATTATTGTTATTATTTGCCTCGCGATATTTTTCTTCCAACCAATCAATCATTGCTTACCTCAGGAATTTTGTGTAGGTCGACAAACTGGGAAGTAAAAATAACAACAACAATAATAATAACAATAATAATAATAACAATAATAATAATAGCTACAATATTATTTAAAAATAATAGCAATAACATTACCAAACGCTGACAACTAAATTAATGGTAGTGATAGAGCTAATTTCTCGGAAGGTTATAACGCATTGAAAGAGCAAAATGTTAATAAAAATTGCGTAGTAATAATAATAATATTATTATTAGTTGTAATAATAATAATAACAATATTAATAGTAATAATAATAGCAATAATAATAAAAATATGTTCGGGTTACTGCGAAATAACTAGGTCATGTTTTTTTTCCCTGATCTAGGTCATTGGGTTAACTCGTTAGAAGGTTAAGTGTTTTTTTTGGTCTTTTAATTGTTTTTGTTTAGTTTTTAGCTCGTTTTTCCTCTGTTTTGTCGTGTTTTCATTATCTGAGTTTTTGGCCAAAAGATTTATGAGAAAAAGACGGTGCATTATTGAAAAATTCCAAATTTGACAAGGAAAACCATTTTTTCGGGATGAAAATGATGATGGTGATGATGAGGAAGAAGAAAGTGATGATGATGAAGAAGAAAAATAGGATGATAATGAGGATAAAAATGAGGATGAAAAAGATGAATGATGAGGATAATAATGTAATAAATGTTTATTATGATGACGACGACGACGACGATGATGATGGTCTGTAGGTGATGTTGACAAAGATGCTGCTGATGGTGATGATGAAATTGGTGGTGGTGATAATAGCAGTAGTGATGATGATGAAGAGGATGGTGGTGGTGGTAATGATGATGGTGGAGAAGAAGAAGAAGAAGAAGATGATGATGATGATGATGTATGATTTGTTTTTCCATTTAGTTTTGTTTTGTTTGTGAGTATATTTTTACATTTGTCTTTCCTCCGTTTCTTCCTTTAATCTTTTTCTGTCTTCTACTTTCATTCTTCTATCATTTCTCTCTCTCTTTCTCTCCTTTTCTTTCTCTCTCTCTTTCTCTCTCTCTCTCTTTCCCTCTTTCTCCCTCTCTCTTTCTCTCTATTTTTTTTTCTCTCTCTTTCTCTCTCTACAAGTGAACAAAAAACAAGAAGAACGAATGACCGAATGAATGACTGAATGTATAAAAAGAATGAATCGAGTTATAGAAAGAATGAAAGAGTGTACGAAAAACATGAATAAAAGAATAAAATGCGGTTCCATCATGAGCTAGTATGATGCACTGGTAAAGATAAACTGAAGGAAAAAAAAAATAAAGAGATTAGATGTGAGTGTGACGTGAAATGAAGAGGTGAAAATGAAGGAAAGAGAGAGTGAGAAAAAGAGAGAGGAGAGAGTGAGAAAAAGAGAAAGAGAGAGAGAGAGATAGAGAGAGAGAGAGAGGAATATAAACCAATAACAAAGAAGTAAAACCCCAACACACACACACAATCTGGAAATAACAAGAAACAGACTGACAATATGCAGATAACGAAATAACTCAAATGCTTACGTGGGACGAAAATAATT